TGAAATGTCTTTGACTTGCTATTCGATCGTAAGTGGTTTGGAACTTGACCTCTCCATCTGCCTTTCTTGATTAACTCTTGTTGCCATCTGATCTTCTTCTCATGATTCTTGGGATTTTCAAAACAGTCGTCTTTGCCATATCTACATACACACCGATCAGCTGTACATTTAGGTCGAGTAGATTGAGTGACACGATTGTTGTTGTTGCGATTGACTGAATGAGCTCCTGGTATAAATGATTGATTCTTGTATAAGCTCGAAAATTGCGGTAAGTTTCGAATCTCTTTCTCTTTCTTCAGTATATATTGTTCAACTCCATCATATGTTAAAGGGTTCACCATATCAAAGACGTTAGATAAGATGAATTGATTGTTATGATGAAGAGATTTAATAAGTCTTCTTGCCAGTTGCCCATCATTAAGATCTCCTCCTGCTAACATTAATTCATCTTTCAATTCTCTAAATTTCGCTAAGTGAGCTTCTAAAGTTGTGCGATTATCTTGGCGGAATTCATCTAATTCATTGTCAAGTTGAAATCGGGCAGCTTCTGATACTGGAGCTTTATTCTCTCTAACAATCTTCCATAATTTTGACGGTTCATATTCAATATCCACTTCCCCATCAACTTTAATTTGAAGTTTGGATTCAACAAAGGCTGAAGTAGAGGGGTCCATCCGATTGATCAAGAAATTCGTAAGACATTCCTTGTTAGCGAGATGTTCTTCAACAGTTATGTCGTCGGGTTGATTGGCTGAGGTAAGATATTGATCAAGGCATAGATGCCTCAGAGATCGTTTGATTCCAATGGCCCAATGAGTGTAGTTATTCTTTCCAAGAATAACAGTGGCTGATATTTTACTTAAGTTGAAATTTAGGGCGATTGCGAATTCTTTTTGAGTAGTGGGTATGGTTTGATTAGATGGAGTAGTCATGATGGCAGGTGGTTTGTTTTGAACAGTGTGATTCGAATTGAAAGACTTTTCAGAAGAGCTCGATGGGGAATTTTCTCGATTATCAAGATCAGTTAGAAGATCGTCGGTGGGATCGGCAGAAGAGTTTGTAGGTGAAGGTGCGTCGACTGGTGAGGACATATAAGAGGGTTATGAATCGAGTTATTCTCTCGCTACCATGAGAGAATCTATATAAACTCGAGACTCCTTATAAAGGAAGTCTTATAACACCAGAAATCGGGTGTAAGTCTTTTATGGCTCTGAACACCAAAGACTATAACAAGAACACACCTTATAACACCAGAAATCGGGTGTAAGTCTTTTATGGCTCTGAACACCAAAGACTATAACAAGAACACACCTAAATAGGTGGAAAGAAACAAGAACAGGAAGTCTAGACAACATGGTTATAGTAGAAATGAAGTCAACAACAGTTATTCGGATTTGAGTATGATGTGAGAAGAGAAAGACTCACACGCCAGTTTTCCTCAGTGAACTGATGAGGAAAACGTGGCGCGGTTGGTGGCGTTAGTTTCTATTTATATGTGATACTATGATGATAATTAAAGTTAGGTTTGGTTTCAGGTCATGTATTGTATTGGTTGAATTGTACCGTGTTGATTGAACTGTACCGAGTTGGTTGTCGTGTTTGAAATGATAACTGTATTCTTACATATTTCTGAGAAATCACCTGGTCAACCATTTTGATGAAAGATGTACAAGGCCGGTGGTGGCCATTAAGCCTTCAGAAATCAAGTAATCTGATGTTGACGTGTTGTGTAGGCACATTGAATGCTTGTGTTAGAGCTTCCAAAAAGTAGACCCGAAGGATTATGTCAATATTTAATATGCTTTTACACATTTTGATTCAATCCAAAAGGATTTCTTCATGCCTCCATCAACTCCAATCCATTATATCCAAGGGGTCACTAGACAGCACCAATTGTCATGTTAATTGATAGACCACATCTGAAGATGAACAATTGAACATAGACTATGTTGATGGCGGCACCCGTACTGACCTTCCTGATGAGTGCCTCAGATGAGAGCTTTGTGAGAAGTAAAGACAACAATATCTTATGCTCAAGAAATATAAACTGACATTTTGATATTTGTTCATTTGATTGCTCTACTTTGTTGAAGAAAAAAAGTTCATTGTCCTTGATTCTGCTCTTAACAATTTGTGCTACGGCTAAGGTCAACAGCGGAATGGTGTATTACTATAGCTCAGGATGCAGAGCTGGATTATAATGAAGTGAGGGGCTGTGTTCATATCTTCAACTGATTAACACAAGGATCAGACTTGTCCAGTAGGTACCCAGTAGTATATTTATATAATCCTACAACTACAAATCCACAACATCAATTGGAGGATGTCCAGCATCTAGAAAATCATATACTATTAACAGTGTGGTTAAATCACAAAAAGTGTTATAACCCAGTTGTCAGTGGTGAAATGGGGTTCATTTTTGTTCAGAAGAGTATGCATTTGTATGTCAAAAAAATATGACCAACCATCAACCATGCATCACCAAATTCCATGTGGCTTATTGATAATATGATGGTGTAGTAAGCACAAACAGAGCAAATATGCTCTCTTCTGAGATGAAATTTTGGAGAAATTTCAAAGTGGTTTTGAGCCCAAACTTCATTAACAAACCCCCCCTGAAAAACACTCAGGATTTTGATGTCAATGCCCCAAAGTCATACTAGAAAAACTGGCTGAGATATGGACATGGTTAAAAGTGTCCAAAATCCTCATATTCCAAAAAGTGACTTCAGGATGATCCATTGGGCTAGAAGTATTATATTAAACTCAACTTCAAATTAATTTATGTACCACTTTCATTATGTGATCATGAAAGTTGGAGCAATATTGACCGAGATATAACATGTTTTTGGCATTCACACCACCCCCAAACCTCTTTAAATGCTCTATGTTGACTGTCAAGAGGATTGTTTTGAGAAGAAGTATTATATTAAACTCACCTCAAAATTGAATTATTTACAAATATGATTATTTGATCATGAGCTCTAGATCAATAATCACTTAGATATAGTGTGTTTTTGGCATTCACACCACCTAACAACCTCTTTGAAACCTCTATGTGACCCGCAATATGATCCTTTAGTGAAGAGGTATTATATTTAACTCACTCTCAAATTAATTTTTGGACAAATTTCATTATTTGATCATGAACATTGGATCAAAACTCGCGGATATATATTTTGTTCCAGGCAATTCACCCAACCCCAAAATCTCTTTAAATCCTCTACTCGACCCTCAAGATGCTGCTTTTGTGAAGAAGTATTATATTAAACTCACCTCCAAATTAGTTTTTGTACTACTTTCATTATTTGATCATAAACTTTGGATCAAAACTCACTGAGATATATTGTGTTTTTGGGTATTCACACCACCCCAAAAACTTACAACATCCCCTGTAAGTCCATCAGGACTTACACTTTTCTAGGAATTCTTATATAAAAATTTTCCTGAGATTGGGTTCTGAATAAAACTTTTCATCTTACTATTGCAATTGGAGCAATATTAATCAAGATATAGTAATTTTGTACATTTTGTAATATCTCAAAAACCCTTCAATTCTCTATATCATCCGTGTATGGTATGACCTTCAAGGCTTACAGCTTTTGGGCTAGGTGGCTTGGGTATTTAATCATTATAAATTCCACCATCCTTCCTACATTGAGTACACATCTGTTTATCCCTGGTTGAGTGAAAAAAGGTGAATAATGAAGTTATTCAACGTGATTGAAAGCGGGGCTGTGTAAATGTTAAAGTACTTTTCTCCCCAAATTAAAGATTTGACTGTTGTGTTTATTTTGTGAGTTTTGTACTAGACTTTAAGATATACACAAGTACCTTTTTTTTACTTAACTTTAGGATATACTTGCCAGTTTTTTTCCACAAGACTTGAGTTGTGCAATCCTGTTCCATCGTACTTCAATCAAGCAATCAATCTCCCGCAACTTCAACTCATCAAACTCGAATTCACCATTTCCGAAAATGTCGCCAAACCAACAAAGAACTTCCAGACGCGCCACGCGAACTAATCCCAATGCATTACCTGAATCACAAACCTCTTCCCAGACCATACCTTCTCGTAATAAACGCCAACGCCGTCTGGGTCACACGAACAAAGCCACTGATCAAGCAACCACAGTTTCAAACGCTAATAATGTTCCTCCTACCCCATCTGCTACTCAACAAGCTGCTTCTGGCACGACTGAACCCACACAACAATCGGCCATCAATGACGAGGATCCTGACCTCTCCGGTATCACCTTACAAAACTATCATCAGTTCAAGAATGCATGGCCTCTTAATCATACTCAAGAGCAGCTCAAAAAACAGGCGTCTTCTAACCATCAGCTCAGTGCGGCAGTTGTTGCTGAAGCTCAGGCCGTGCTTTCAGCCTTGGAGCATTCGCTTCACATGATTGCGATGATTTCACACGTCAAGCTTGATACTATAAAACGTGCTTTGTGAGTACATTTTCATTCAGCTATCTACCTTACTGTGTTGAGTCATGAATTCATATGTACTCTTCTCACTGTGTAGGGGCTTGTTGGGTGGAACACACGGTGACAACTCTTGGCATAGATGGCTAAGCTTTGCAATTGCAGCAAATAAAATTCCAAGTATGTATATTCTTTCTTGTTTGTTCAATCAACTCTGGACATACTTGTCTTATAAAATTTCATCTGTAGTGCCTGCTCGAGGGGACCCCGCTGCATCAGATCTTCTCACGGTGCGAAATCAAACAAACTCAAAGACGTATCGAGCTCTCAAAGACGATGAACTAGCCGTGTTCACCGCCGAGGTTTTCTACGCTCTGGGAGGATACCCCGACTATTCAGCCATCTCAATCACCGACGATGTTGATGTTTTTGGTGATTCCTCGACTCTTGTTCCTGAAGTACCAAAGCTTAGTCCTGCCGATGAAAATCGATACCGCCCCCTATACGAAAAGCTTGTTGATTTGAAGAAAGTGGCCAGAGACCGAGAGCTAAATACCCCAGGATCTTCAGTGTGCAAGGAAGAGAAGCGCTCTCTGCAATGTTTCAAGAAGATAGCGCTACAGGTGAGCACATTGCCTCTTTCTGAATGGATCAAAGAAGCTTGATAACTGAACTACTTCAATGAGTACATAATTCTTTTTTTAGCTTGCACGTGACCATCAATTACTCGGTATGGACTATTATATCATTGCTTGCAGCAACAACAACTCAGGCAAAGGATGGTGTCGAGAATATACCAGTAGGGATGAAATCGCTCAATGGGTTGGGACCAAGGCTCAAATGCAGCATATATTTCCCCTCTACTGTCAACACGAGGCAACTATCGAACAAGTCAAAGCAAATGCAGCTGCAAACAACCCTCCAGCAAAGAACAAAAAACCAAAAAATCAATCCGATATGGATAAAGCTGAACTTGTTGGGCTATTGAATCAACTCCTAGGTATGTTTGCTGGTTGAATTTATATTGAGTTTGTTCCTAGACTGACTTGTACAAATCCTAGTCAACATCATTGGCGATCCTGATAAGGTATTTCCCAAAATTCCCAATCCTGTTCAAGCCTTGAAAGACCGCAAGATACCAGTTACAATCGAACGCACTTCAGACTCCACCATGACACCGGAAGAGTTTGAAAAAGGATTCAATGGTATGGACACCAAGGCTCGACGTCACTGGATCAGCGACATCAAAACAGGTAAATTCATAATCAAGAAGCAAGTAATTCAACCCTGCAATCAAGTGTCACCCACGTTAAATACCCCTCAAGATACTCAAACCACCCTCGGAGCCGCCGAACCTAATCCTGAAGCTTGTGGAACTGGGACTCAATCATTGGGAACCAACACGCAAGCTCTTGAAAACCGACCAGGAGCCATCAGTCAAGGTGAAGCAAGTGGAACTCAACCAGCCAGCTGTGGCCTTTCTTGATTGTGTAGAGCACGTGTCATCATCTCATTAACTGCACTTTTCTGTCTGGCTGACCTTCTTGAATTTCGATTTTTCATACACCATTCAATTGACCACAGGTGTCCCCATAACTACGGAATCTTGAAATCCTCTACCTCTACTTGCTGATCCTTGTTGGCTTTCCCTTTCATTCTTGTTTTTGTTTTCTTTTACGTGTCCTCCCTTTGATTGTCTCTTTTGCTGAGCAGATATCTTTACACGTATCTCAGTTTCATTCTTAACATACTAGTTATGCTGTGAGTTGTAAAACATGAATGAAATCTTTCATTTTGTGTGTTATACTTTTTCACATTGTTATACAATACTTTAACCTTTCTCATATGTACTCGCAGTTTATATATTGATTTTCAGAGAAATGCCATCGACATAGTGTGACAAAGACAAAAGTGAGTCTATTCATGTTGTACCGGTATGCAAGGGTATGTGAGTGTTTTCATGAGCGCCGGAGACATGTCATAACTTACACGCGAAGCTGAAAATGAAATTCAAGTGCAGCATATATTGGGTAGGTTTGAGTCCGGCCTTGCAATCAATCTATTTGACATGTTGTCGAGTCTGGACTTGTTAAGATTTGCACTATTGTGAAAAAATTCTACTCGATTCTACTCAACAAAGGCATATTTTTGAATCTAATTTGACATTTCTTACAATCGAATTGCGATTGTACATAATTTGAATTTAATTTTTTTTCACTGCTTGTTGTTTTATTTTGGTCTGACCAGGTTTCAGTTGCCAATCTTTTTTGCTGCATCGTTTTTGAATTGATTGATTGGTGTATATTCTAGTGGAAAACGGCACCAACACAACCAAATTGTAACCTCAGAGGATTGTCCATCTCCATCTTTTGCGAGTGATATAATATCTTAACCAAGATGACTATTCCTGACTTTTCTCATCAAGTTGCTTTGTATATGTAGGTATTTAGTGTACATATCCTTGACTCTTGGGTGACGGTCCTGGAAACCGAAAGAAATGGAGTCGTGTAGGAAGTCGTGAAATCTACAAAGTCAGAGCTGAATAGAATCTTTTTAAGATAAATTGATGCATTTATTGGGATACGGCGAGTGATTAAAATCGAAAGTTGAAAAAATTGATTTGATCTAACTTGATTTGGATAGCCCAATCGTTCATTATACAGCGCCCAATTGTTCATTATACGGCTTGATAATAAGTGTTGCTTCAGTTTACATGATTGGTGCACTTGTCCCTTACACATTGCTCTTAAAGAATAGTGGAAGGATACTATATTACAACTATGAAGCTGAAGCGAACCAGACTGGTTCCATTTGTTTGGCTTGTGAGAAAGGGTGCGTAGTGGCATACTGGTCTGATTGGTATCATAATAGTCAGACTGGTCTGATGAGTATCAGCGGTCTGATGAGTGATGTATAGACAGCCAGATCGGTCTGATAAGGGATGTCAAGACCAGATTGGTCTGATGAATAATTCATCAGACCAATCTGGTGGATGGTATCGAGCCAGACTGGTCTGAGGTAGCACGATCAGCGTGAAGTGCTGTCCAGACCGGTCTGCATAGTCATGTGTACATGTGGTGTGTTGTGCAGACTGGTCTGCGTGTAGGCTCAGACCAGTCTGTGAGGGTGTTGTGTTTTTTTTAAAGTCGACGTGTGTGAGTAGGCCCAGACCAGTCTGAGTCTGACTTGTAGCCGGGCTCAAAAAGTCGTCTGGAGAGTCTGGGGAGTCTGCCCAGAGCAATCCGGTAGCATACCGTAAGCTTTACACATGTATGTCTCGGTGTTTCATTGAGGAATCTGCGCACCACAGGTGGTCTGAATGGCTATCTGTCGCAAAGTGTCACACATCTTGCGCGAGTTCAACAGTTCAGTTCCCCCATGGCTCATATAATCTGATGGCAGTAGCCATAGAGGCAGCGCGGGACGTTGGATGATGTTAGCGCTGCTCTACCCTCGCTGTCTGGCCAGTGTTTTTTTTGAGTGCGAATTGGCTTTATTGCATACAACACTAACAAAAATTTACAAATGAAATGACTTATGCCTTAGAAAGAGCTGTTTACTTCGAGCTAAACTCTTTCCTTGTCCTTTTTTCTTTTCCGTTTCTATACACATCCTCAAACTCTGGCGCTCAGCACAATTCAAATGTTGCTCCCTAGGAAATCGGTTTTGAGCACGTAATAGTATGTCTCTCTAATAATCTCGCAGCAGCCGTTGATTTTGAAATTTCAACGGATCAACTCTTGAGTAAAATAAGAAAAACAGAAGAGGATAGATAAAAAATGAATGGAGCAAAGGAAAGAGAAGAAGGCCCCGCTGGTGACCTTATGATTTTTTAACAATTGATAAAAGGGAAAAAATCGAGGAAATGAGAACCAAGATTCTCCCTACTAAAGTCTTAGACTGTTCACGCCCGTTAACTGTGGAAGTTCGTAAGTCCCTCGTGCCTCGTTCATAGCTTGCTATGTTCAAACCCCGCGCACGAGATTGGACTTACAGTCGATTTCAGAAAGCTTGGAAACTTTTGCCCGCCAAATTTGAGCAAATTGGCGCGGAATTCTTTCCAAGCTTTGTGAAATTGACTGTAGTTAAGTTTGAGCCAAATGCTACATCAAGATATCTTAAGTGGGGATCATTTCGAAGCATGGTAACAGGAAAAGTGACGTACATATCACGAAAGCAAGTCCTCTGTCCTGGCTGTAGCATTACTGTGGAAGCTCAAGCTCGTACATATTCTCGCGGCCAAGCCAAATGGCTTCAAGGAAACCTTAAATCAGGTTCCCTTCGAGAAGGAAACCATGGAAGTTCCATCTAAGCCAACCGCGCCGTTACAGCAAAGTTTCTGCGACTGTAGGAACATGGATTTGTTTGTGAAATACCTCAGGCATAGGTTCATAAAAGCCCCACCACGCCACTTGTCATCTGGACAGTGGAGTAAAGTATGATCAGACTCCACGCACATCGGCCTATTGGAACAAGCGCGGCCCGCAAACTTCAAATGTACGATGAACAAGATTGGACTTGATCAAGTTAGCCCCTGATGCGCGGGTCGCTCTCATCATATGGCCCTGTCTTTGAAATATAGCATCTGGTTGTAGGATTGGTACCTATTCTTTCAAAATTGGCAAATTCAGCGGACAGTGTCCGAATTCCCGTTCACCGCTCAGCGCCCGGAATGTAGAACTGCTTACTATGTTATTATATATACCTACCAAATGCAAAGATGCCACAGGCTTTACAAAGAGACCCACTCTTGCACCCTGATCTAGGATTTTCCTGCCATTTCTGGCTCTTGTTTTAGATCTGGCAGCCGAGACTCAAAAGCCACCCTCGACAGTAAAGAAGACTGGAAAGTAGAGGCTCATAGAGACCCAAGAGTATAGAAGTACCAAAAGTGGAGGCTGCTACCAGCTACCACCACACGAGTCGAACGGAGCTAACAATGATTGCAGACCTGTATGAACTCCTGAACAACAGCGTGTATCGAACAGCCTCTGGGCTTCCCCGCCACAATCTTCCTAGAGTGGAGGCCGGAAAATATTCTTCTCGAGAAATGAACTGTTCAAGTTTCTAGCTCCAGCTCAAATGCAATGCCTCATGGAAAATGGCTCAAAGAAGAATGCCTGTGTCAGCCAGGACTCGGATTTTGTAGGTAAAATGCAGCATCGGCACAAATTGCGAACTAGCTCTACATAATCAAATGAAAGATATCCTCTAAACCCCAAAATGAGACAAGATGTATAACACAAAAACAAGATAGACAGCGATATATTCATCTCCAAGTGGTAGGGCATCATTCCCCCTTGACTCTATTCAACACGTTCACTTCAAGCAACTCTTTTTCGAGCGAGGAATCAAATCGGCCATCCACATCCAAGTGAGATATTTCAATCATCGACTGAATTTGTTTGTCACCTTCACTTTTATCTTGATCTTGTCTTGTGCGCCATAATCTCATAGCATAAAGAAATAGAGCCAACCCCATCATAAGCCCCATGATTACAGAAACGGAAACTGGCGTCCCGCGTCCCTGGGCTTCCCATTCTTCGATACCAGAAACGATTGTCGCCCAGGAAAGTAGGATAAGTGAACATCCGAAGATGATATGCAACCAGTTTTTTAATGCTAGCACAAAAAAGCAGAGGATTTATAGTTTAGTATCGAATAAGTTCTAAATCATAGAAGACTTCTATTTTCATCAGAGAAAATCTCTTACCTCTCTTAGTTTCTGACTTTTTTGAAAAGGCGTGAATGATGTATCCTTCCAAAACTTGGAATAGCATTCCGATCACCACAAAAAAACCCATCTTCTTTTGGTGGCTATCAAAATGAGAGCCAGATCCTACAGCACAAGCTGCACAAATTATGCCAATCAGGGTTAATAGGACTGTGAAGATTTGTAAGATCCAATGAATCTTCACCCATTCTAATGAGCTGGCTCTCATAAATCGTGCAGATAAGACTGCCGCTGGAGCGCAGAATATCCACGCTACCGAAAGCACCGTTGCTAAAAAAAATCGTTTGAATCAATGGAACTTTTTCTTCCCTGCAAGAATGATAAGAAATCTCGAGATGTTCACCGTGTACTGTGATGAGCCCGTCATGTCGGTAAGAGTGAGTAAGATCTCGCAGAGAGTAAGTCTCGGATCTAATGGTACCATTTGGAAGTAAAGTTTCATCAAGGTTTAAGTTGACAAGCCCGTATCCCAGATCGTGATAAAGTATCCTTCCATTCGATTCCATTCCTGGCGGGCGCAAAGAGGAAACAGCCCAAACAAACTCTTGTGCAGGTTTTCTTCTCAACGTATCTGACGGTCCCAGACTGAGAGGACGGATGAAATTGAAAGAAACAGTGCTCTTTTTCACAGATTTTGATTGATGTATCTTCAGCAGAGGTTCCTCCTCTGAAATACGTAGTGACTTGGGAAGTATGTGCCCGGTTGTGCTGCGATAAGAGATCACCCAACCTTTTTCTTCGTCTGGTTCACCTACTGGCCAAATTATCTAATTCCCAGTGGGAAGGATAGCATCAGGATTATTTTTGAAGCTTCAAACTGAGTGATATTCTTACCATCATCCGCGAGTTGCTCATTCTCGTACCATGTCCTATGGCGATCCATCCGAGTTTAGATTGAGGAATTATAAGGACGAAATCGATTTTTGCGTGCGTGGTATTGGTCAGGACGCTTGCAGTGAAGGTGCTGGTCTGAAAGCTGGCGCCCGTCACAGCATCTTGCCCGACCAACCCTAAACCCCCTATCATTCAAATGTTGTTTATCATTGGAGATTGAATGGTCTGTATTCATTTGGAATCCAAGGAAGTATCCAACATGGCAACATTACCTGAGTATTCCATTCCCATGGCAAAAGTAAAGTATAAAAAACTTAGTTGAACCCAATTTATTACTCGCATGATCAATTCCATCAGGAGACTGCAGGAAGCTAGTGAATTTGGGCAAGAGAGTAGATAGGATGTTTGAAGTGGGTTGAAGATTTCACCTGGGATTTTTCAAGTTGACGAGAACCTTAGATGAAGGGAAAAGATGATTGAGAAGCAATCTGTTGAGGCATGCAGAATCAAATCAAGTATATATAGACCAGGTATGGAATCTCTTAAAAGTTTTCACCCATTTATCATAAAAAAGCGATCAGGAGACATAATGTATTGAAATAAGCCCGAATGCCAACTTACACCCGGCATCTAAAACAGAACTTCACCACTTCCTGTGTTGTTTTGATCCGTGAGGTTATATTCAATCATGCGGTCGGAGACTGACCGAGGCATTGAAATGATCGGCGAGAACATTCCAAAAGACGGGGATGCAATTGCTGCAATCTTGTCAAGCCAAATTGTCAAATGTGCACAACGATTGGTTTCAAGTGATTTCGCGGCAAGTGGCCCAAATCTGTAAAGTAAAACAAAGATGGAGCACCCCACCTCTCTGTTCCTATTTGTTGAAAATGCGTCTGACAGAATAGCCGAGAAAATTCCCGCGTACAGGGAAGATGATAGTCCTACAAACTTCAGATCGAGTCATCTTCAACCTTCAACGAGAGTCTATTTGCGCCGATTGATCTCACACGCGAGCGGCATTCCAGGCGTTGAGGTAACCCGCGGAGGGTGATTGTGGATTGGCCAAGCATTGCAGGACATTGGACCCAATATGGTAGCGCCTTTGTCCCTTGTACAGTACTGGACTCGTGGACTCGACCTGCGATCCTTGATAGGTGTTTCGATCAAAACGCCGAGTCTCTATATTCTGCGGAATCGATTGCCCAGGGTCTCTTTATATGTCTACCATTTATTCCAAACTTTGATAATCGACATCTTGGAGTTGGCCCCAGATCTAATCTGGTGATGATATGAGATCGAATAACCATATCAGGGCTGAATCCATCTTGTTTACAAAAGCAGGTCTCATAAAACCATGCCTTGTTCTTCCCTGAAGACGATTCCGTCGCGCGACAAGAAAATGACCAAGTCAAATCTTTCTGGCCATTAGCTTTGATATTGGGCGTTAGGCTATAGTCAGCCTTGGAAGAAGACTCGAGGTATGAGTGGGAGTTCCGAGCCATGTGATTTGCCAAGGCATACGAGCCTGCACAGCAGTGATCACAGAAAGCTACAAGGACCGTTCTAATTAGAGCCAGAGGCGATGTCATATTGATATAAGTAGCGTCGCCTCCTCGTATGCCAGTTATTTTAGTCATAATCGAGAATATCTCCTTGGCGAATCTTCAACGCTGATAACGGACTGTGAGAGGGTAGCACAGACATGTCTTCGAAGACATACGCGATGCGATCATTATAATTTTCAGCACTAATGATACTTGATCGCTGTGGAGCATCATATGCGACGGGGAAAACGACGTCAAAGGACATGGTAGGATCTGAGTGAGACTGGTGTCTAGCCGTGAGAGTGTTGCCGAAACGGTTGACAGTGAAATTGGACGCTGCATCCTGCTGCATCCGATTCCCGACCCAGCTGGTAGGCGCGGTGCTTTTACCGCGCCGGGAAGCCTCCAGAATAGGCGCGCTTGGGGGCGGGTCTCTTGCTACGACCTCATCATTCATGATGTGAGAGGTGAGGGTCCTATAGAGAAATCAAGCTTGAGGATTGAAGATAAATCTATCTTTGTGAAAAACGATGAAAAGACTGACAGTACCCTATTTGTGCGGAAAGAGGACTTAAAGTTACAGGCAGCTTTTAACTGACCATCATTTTGTTGCCTGACTCATGATGTGATTCCAATTATAATCAATGTTAACATATTTTTTCATTGTGCTCTGATGCAGGCGCATTTTTTCCACATGAGCAAGAGACTAAGAGCATCCATCCACAGCCACATTCCATAAACTGTGATGTAGGGAAATTTGGGTATTTTGATCCACAGCCAGTACCCCCAAACATATACTTGGCTAAGGGAACTCTCTACATGCAAGCCAAAACCGCCCAAGATGTTCTTCTTCCACTTGCACCCTAAATCCTTCTGTACCTTAATTCTCTCATAAACTCCAACTTTTACAACCACACTTTCTGCAAACCATCTCAATCAATGAGCAACTAACCCATAACACACCTCCCCCATTATGCTACAAGTTTACATAATTCAATTTTAATACCTCAAAGCCTTCCCTAAATGATCTGTGCAACCCTCCTTACAACACAGATTTACAGCATGGTGGTGCACCTGTATGCTCCAAGATGATAGGATACATTGTACTCAGTTATGATCTCTGAAACATTTACCTTTTGAAATACCCTTATTTATTTCTTGCCAGATTTTATAATCCATGGACCTACTAATCATGATATATCATGCTAATAACTCAGGTTGGGACATTCAGGTGCTGTGCAGGGCTTTTATTGGACTAATTTTGACTAATGCCCTGTCTGATGGGTCATTTTGGCTATGTAGTAAATTCTCAGTTCTCATACAGTCAAACCTTTGCAGGACAGTCTTCAAAAATGTGGTATCCTCAATATAAAGTTGGATGTTGGTCCACCAAGTTGATCTCAGCAGAGATTTTAACTCTGGATTGTGGTAAAATCTACCATCTGGTACAAAAGGTGTCCACCAAGTACACCACATTGCAGAGGTTTCACTGCATGGTTGCTGCTGTCAAAGGCTTATTTTCCAGATGGATATTACAATTGCCCAAATCCAATGTTCTCACTCAAAACTCAACATTTTGGTCATTTGAGAGCAAATTTGAGATCCTCAGTCTTATGTCTGTGCATATATAGCTTTTCCAAACATTGGCCTGCAGTTCTCCATGTATTTTCCAGGTGTTGTTTTTGAGTGGAAATTTGAAATTTGATAATGAAAAAACAACAAAAAATAAAGAAAAACAAAGTTGTGATCAGATCCTTTAGAAAATCTATAGAAGGAAAGCAACCAGGTTGAGCATTGGGGAGATGGTCTTAGGAGCTTGAAATGTTCAACTTTGAGAAGGCACATTGAATTTGAAGGTTTGAGCTGAAATTCATAAGCGTTTGATAGTAGCAACTATACATAGATAAGAGCATAATGTGGAGAAAAGCAACTAGAACCATCTTGCAAAGCTTGCCTAGCAGCTTTTCAAAAGAGCCTATCCAATTTTTCAGCATTTAGAACAAGGCACAAGGACATTCAAGTATGTGGACTATCTACTCATATATGTAGCTTCTTTGCTGGAAAGAATACACTTTCCATTGTGAGTTGTGCTCATGTAGTATAGTAATCACTTAGGCGGTACCAACCCTTGGCCAGCAACACAGCACTCTGCCTTGGGCATATTTGCCTCTGTGTTGTGCTGCAACACACAAATAGCAGCTGGAAATGACCTTACAGAGAGCACCACAACGATAAACAGGAGGGCTGATTGATGTGGCACACCCTGTTTCACAATTCAACATCCACAACAGTACAAAGAAGAGACTTATAACACAACAAGTGTTGCTGTTTACCAAAAAGAACATGGAACCCAAAGATCTTGTGATACAGTGCAATGCTGTCAAAGAGATATAATTACAGCTATAAACATGTATATACTCATAAGAAGATCAGACCTAACCAAGAATCCTATATCTCTCAAATTCATGACACACAATTCTGGCTCTCTAGGGAATCTACAGCTGATTGTATCACTGCCAACATAGATGCCTCAGATTTTTCAATCCGAGGCATTATTGGATATAAACCAATCTTGTCCAAGGTGTTGATCTGAGGTATCCTTTGGCGCAAAAAGATACCTCAGATCAGAACCTTGGAAAGATTCTGTCCAAGGTTTTCAATCCAATGACACCTTGGATTCTTCAATCCAAGGCATCTATGTTGGCTGTGTATGATCAGTATCCTTTTGAGCCAGGTGAGCATTCATTACATTTACCTCATCATCATTATCCTTTTCTATTTTTCTTATGTTATGATTGTCATCTATGTGATAGTTGAGTTTTGTTAAATCATAGTTTATGCTAATACCATTCTAATCTATGTCACATTCTATCTATAACTGTATGAGCAATGTTCATATATATACTGTTAGTTGATTTTTAGTTTTGATTGGGTTCTCTCTTCTTTACCTTTCCATTCTATTCTAACATTTCCTTTTGGTGAGATTCCATCTGATCATCTTGTTTGTACCCATTAGAGGGAATCAACTACTGATTGTATTCTTTGTGTCCTTTTGAGCAAGAAATCAATTTGATATCATTTGGTTCTAGAATCAGTTCCCTCATCCTGTATCCCAAGCCCATACATTCCCTACATTAGTGAGGACTTATCAACAGCCCTGTACATACGGTGTAGGATTTAAAGCTCAACAAGAGATTTACAACACCTAAGAAGGGATAATCTAGTATTATATAACTATTAGAAGCTGCCTAAGACTGCCTTCTTCAAAAAAGTCAGCACAAGGCCACTTGATGACCACTTTGCAATAACAAAGAAATTGATAAAGAACCAAAGAAATGATCTCAATACACTATACCAGATTGAAAATTGACCACCGAGTTCAGAAAAGTAAGACACCACACAAAATTATATAGAAGCTGTAAGGGGTCAGAAAAATCTTGAAAAATAATGGTTGAATACTACAGTGCATTCCAATTATCTTGCATATTTTTTCAAACTTTCACAACCACAGTCCATATGATGCCAGAACCCCCAGTTTGGTCCAAAACCGGCAGCAATTTAAACCATGACCTCACAAAATCAATAAAATTGTCAACTTTGCTCCAACACATGTAATGCTTTGACATTATGGAAACCTTGTTTTGGCTCTACATTCTGCACACAATTATCAGTAGTATGTCTCCAAGACCGAATAAGGTACAAAAATAGTTGTACACAGCAGTAAGCCTAAAATAGCCTAGAAACTATTACTCCAATGCCTTTAGCACTTGAATTAACATTATAGACACAGGTTTTGGCAACACTGGACCAATTACGCTAGAAAAGTGTTAGAGTAGCTGGTAGCCTAACTTTTTCACACATCTAACAGAACACTTTCCGTTGATCTATGCTACAAGATCCTGGATTTTGTGATAAGTTGGATCACTACGTTTGTAGCGTTAGCTGGATCTGTACATCTACACTAACAGACATCAAGATTTGAGGTTAGCAGCTGTGAGCTTTGGTTGACATACCCTTGCAATGATTTGAGGACTTCACCCCCTGAAGGTGAATATCCCCAATCACATCAGTTGTAACCAACTGAGAGGATAGATGTTGAGATGTGATAATCATCTGTATACCCCTTCAACCCCAACACATTCACCCCCAACACACAGGTTCAATTTTTTGTTCAAGCTGGTGTGGAAACTTAAAGACCCCCGTTGGTGATACTTTCTTTTTTCCTTCTCCAAAAATTTCCATCATTGCTTTGCCATGGTGGCAACCCCTTCTCAGAGGAGCTCTCAAAGCAAAGCTTCTGGTCCACCACATATATCTAATTGTATCATGTTGAAGACTTACTCTTGTTCTTTCAAACAGAACAAGCAAAACAAGTATCCAGTTCTTGCATCACTTGCTGGCAACTATCTTGCTTGCTGCAGAGATTGGCTCCCGCTCTTTTCAGCAGCAGCTGATGTTTGTGCAAGCAATTGAGGATCACTTCAAACATGGGATATTGAAAGGCTTGTAGGAAGCCAAATGTGGCTATGTGGAGGTGTCAGATTGAGTGGAAGTCAATAGGCTGAATCACAAGCCCTTGCTGACATGGCCTATGGGAAAGTGGATTGACAAGCTTAGTGTTTTGGACGTTTTTTTAGCTGTTAGCACGTTTTTGTAGCACATTAAAACTACATTATTGCAATTTGATTTTTTGTGTTAGCTTGTCCAAGGTACGCTACGTCCAGTGTGTTAGCTCGCGGCTGCCAGAAAAACGTTTTTGTGTTAATGACGGGCGGTACCCAAAGGCACGACGGTACCGCCTATTTCCACGATACAAGCGGGATCGGACTGTGGGCAAATTACGGGAAGTATCCTTATAGTGAGATACATCCCGGACGCTAGATTGACCCCCTTCAGGTCAAGTGAGAATTTCATCAACTGTGAAAATTCTCGTCAAGCGTCAACTCCCCAGTTCCATTATCCCACGCTCGTAACTGGAAATCTTTTCTCTAGCTCTCCTCTCATTTCTCGCTACGCAAGCCTTTGGCTTGAAGGTATATTTTTTGAAAAACAAACACCTCTTTGGATTGTTTATCAACAACGAAGAATTTCATTTAGTCAATAAATTCGCGGAAGAAGAACTTTTACTTTTCCTTTTTCTATTGTCATTTCCTATAGATAATATTAGGGATGTCTACCAACAAAAACACCAATACGCAAAACTTTAACGAATTCTTGAGGAGAACTAGCAACAGGTTGAGAGGAGGTTCTGTTCCTCCACCTGATTCTGAAGTTGTCGTTCCTACTCCTGTTGTCCAAAACCTTCGAGGATCAGTAGAAAGTCTGCGTGGTCGTGGTCGTGGTCGTGGTCGTGGTCGTGGAACTCCTGCTGCTTCTACTAGGAATGCTACCCAGAAATCAGCCACTCCGGTTGTTACTTTAACTGTACCCGGTGAAGAAAACCGCACCTCTGTTGACCAACATAGGAACGAAGATCAGAATGTAGACGCTACCGAAGCAACTATAACCGACGTAACGCCTAGAGCTTCAACTACCTCAGTAATTCATTTGTCTGGTCTTTTATCGAGAGATAATATAAATAACGTGACAAATTGTAAGCCACAAATACTTGTCAATGACCACCTCAGGTGATGCCGCAAAAAAAAGCGAAGTTTAACTGAGACAACCCACCTATGGTGATGCCACTTCAAAAGTGAAGCCTCAGACGTATGAGTTGTTGTAGAGATTAGTCAGCTAAAAATTCTTGTGCTTCTTTCTTTCATTTAAAGCAAATTCTCCCACTCGCAGAAATGTAGCGTCTGGTGTTGGTGAAAGCCCCCCTCCTGGATTCCACTCTTGGTTACATGCAAAAGGACTCACCGTGATCAGTAACCCAGGTTCGACTACGCCAGCAATTCATGGATTATCTACTGCTCTTGCTAATAAGACTCCTGCAAATCGATCGTCTGACGCTGGTCCTAATACATCTAAAGACAAACATGTTCAAAAGAAAGTCACCAACCAAGTTGATTTGACCAAAGATGACGATGAGCCCACCAAAACCGAAAAGAAGAAGGTGGAAGTGAGCGATACTGGAATCGAGGCTGACGGATTGGTAGCTTTGTTACCTTACTTTGATTCAAAAATGAAGGTTTTTGAAGGATATATCCCCCTGTCTATACTTAATACGCGATGGTTGAAACTTGCTTTAGTTCGCCAGTCTCAGAAGATCGTAAAGAAGAAAGACAGTGAAGACGATCGTTACAACGGCTTACCTATGCCAGATGAATGGAAGATGGAATTTGGAGAATGGATATCAGATTTCGATTTGTTCCTCTCCTATATTCGTTATTATGGACATGGAGAACTGGCGAACCGTTTCGTGACTCATCGAGAGAATGTGTTGGCTATTAAAAGAGAGAAAGTTTCATGGATTATGGCGTTTAGATATGATCAAGCTATTAGATGTAGTGTGATGACCTTTAAAAACGCAGATGGAAAATTAGCCAACCCAGCAGTTAGAGATGAGACTAAAGAACGTGAAGCTAGGAACGAAACCGAACGGTTAGGGGATTTTCAACCTAGGTTTCAAGACATCAATCCATACGCTGAAGGTCAAGCAAAATCGAATGTTAATCCAATCACCGGGGATTATAACCCCTTCGGGACACAAAAATCGTACACGGGCGCAAATGCTAATTTAAATCAGGCAACTCACTACAGTAAGCCCAATGCTCGGTCTTGGCAACATTTTAATCAACAATCCTCCTTCGAAGGCTCAGGAAGTGCTACTTACGGACAGAATTATCACAATTGGGAGGATCATAGAGGAGATGGTCGCCAAGTGAGAGGTCGAGGTCGTGCCGGTGGTTATACCGGAAGCGGTGGAAGTCGTGAATTTGATCGAAATGGTGGTGGTAGAGATAATGATCGATACCCTAATAGAAGAGGTGAAGGTAGCGGGTCCTGGCGCCAAGATGAAAGACGCGATGAGCGCAATAGAGATGTGACTGGTCCTAAATACGGGGGAGGCGGAAAGGCAAAGTAAGCCATACACAGAGATGTTGTTGTTGTCTCAGATAATTTCTTTCCTATTGAACGTACTTCATCACCTTCCACCCAAACTTGATGGGCATACCAAATGTGGTCGGATTTGTGCTTTATTTCTTGATTGATCCCGTCACGAGTTTGAGGTGCCATATTGGCCAATCATAGACGAATTTGTGACTGTTGTTGACCGCTTGTGTTGTTTCTCCCTTTTTGACATATGATATCCGTCATTTGATATTCCGTCTCGATGAAATAAACGTCATGTGACAAGTGTGTTGATTGATTCTGACCTACTTTTTTGCGACTTTCGTACCTTGCCAATGGTGATTAGTTATGACTGGCGAGAAGCTGTGGCGTCACCGGAAAACGGACCTCAATTAAGAGTTACACCTGAGATAAGTTTAGTGAGGTTACTACCGTATAAAAATTCAGGAAGAAGTTACGATAGCCGTTGGCCCCGAGAGTATGCTGTCTGCAATTTGAATCTATCTCGGTGGAGGTCCCTAGTCTCACGTTTTAATATAGGAGGTGACGCGAGAGAGGTAATCAAAGTTTGCGTGGAAGGCTTCCACCAGGGTATTCCGGATCACACGATGGGGAATCGTAAGTGGTTTACTCCTGGTAATCACGATTCAGCAAAATTAGCATCGGAGAAAATCAAGAATACACTAGAAAAGGAAAAGAGAGCAAACCGAATTTTTGGACCCTTCACTCATGAAGAGGTGTTTGCGAAGATTGGCTTTTTCAGATCCAGCCCGATGGGCAGTGTTATTAACGGTGACGGGTCTTTCAGAATTATAATTATTTATCCTTCCCACATGACGTAGAAGACACTCCATCAGTAAACAGTTTTGTCGATAAGAGAGACTACGCCACTACTTGGGACGACTTCAAGGTGGTCGCGGCTTTCTTTAGAGATAATAAAGGGAATTATCTGCTTGCCTTATTTGACTGGGAAAAAGCCTATCGGCAAATTCCTATTCACCCATCCCAGTGGCGATTCCTGTTTTTGATGGATTTATCAAATCGTTTGTGGTTGGATTCAAGAATACAATTTGGTGGGGTAGCTGGATGCGGTGTTTTCGGAAGACCAGCGGATCTGTGGAAACAGATTGTAGTGTTAGCGTTTAATCTTACTACAGCCTTTTGGTGGGTGGACGATAACTTACTAGTCAAAGAAGTTAGTAACCCTACGTCGATACTAGATATTGTAAAGTTTAGCTGGGAAATGGGTGTATCCTCCAACGCAGAGAAAGTTCACGAATTTGGAGAAGAACAACGGTATATAGGATTCATTTGGAACTCAAAGGAGCGTACAGTACGATTACCTGATGATAAGTTCATTGCTAGAGTGGAAGAGATTGAAGAATTTTTGTTACCTGGGGAGTCCTTCAACCTAAAGCGGGTACAGAAGTTTGTGGGGAGATTAGTTCATACAACCCATATAGTACCTCATCTAAAGTGTTATATGTCGAGTCTGTACCGTTGGGAAAATCAATGGCACGTACCAGAGGCGAGGAGGAAGATCCCAGACGACGTCAAGGAAGATCTGGAAGAATGGCGCTTAGCGATGAAATCCTTCCAACCGAGACGTATAATACCCGATCAGGTACCAATTGACGTAGAGTGGGTGGGTGATGCATCACTCACAGGAATAGGAGTTCTGGTTGGGTCGAAATGGGCGCAGTTTAATCTCAAAGAAGGTTGGAATATCGGTGTAGCCTCTAGAGGTATACGAAATATTTCGTGGGCAGAGACAGTGGCCATTCGTTTGGGATTAGTTATGCTAAGTACCTTTAGCGAGGTAGGTGGAAAGTCCTTTATTGTACTCACAGATAATACCACTTTGCAAGCAGCGGTGGATAATCGGAAGTCGGGGGATGTCGAAGTCAACGAAGAATGGAAAAAGATCCAAAAATTGTTGGAGAGGTTGCATTGTGATATTGTGGCCAAACGGGTAAAATCTGGCGATAATTTGGCCGATCTTTTGTCGAGAGGTAAAGACAAACGTTCAAACGATGATATTATTGTAATTGACATGCCAGAAGACTTACAATCTGTCGTCCAACAAGTACTTTGAAATTAATGTTGTTGAAACATGATGTGAACCATTGATTACCCCTTGCCTTGTGAGATAACGTTTCAGATGTGAGTACCGGCGACCCGATCGGACATTGAAGTTTGAGAACGATTGATTGGAGAACCCCTTACCAAACCAGTTCTCCAAGGCAGTCTTCAGATTACCTTCATCAGAAACTATTATCGTCTGTCTCGTAAGAAATCCCCCCTATCTTAACCCAATAGCAAACAGTTATTAGTAATGGAATTCTTGAAAGATGAGAATGGAATAGATTCTTCTAAAACGAACGCGGTGAAAGCTTATATGTTGCAAGGAGAAACGTGGACCCCGGCCACACTCAAACATTACAACGCGGGAGTGTTGAAGTTGATGGCATTCGCAGAAGAGTATAACATCCCGAGGAATCTATTACTACCGATCGATCCAGAGGTACTCTGTCACTTCGCAGTTTGGGCAGGTCCAAAATTGGATCCAGATCAAGTCAATCGCAACTCTACTCCGATAAAGTCAAACACAATTAGGACTTACTTGTCGGGGGTGAAGGCTTGGCACCTTTTTCACGGTTTCGAATATCCACATAAGGAAACACCAAGAGTAGAAGCTGTATTAAAGGCGGCGAAAAAGTTGGAGATTCGCGAAGGGCCTAGTCAGAAGAAGGACCCAGTTTTGATTAGTCATTTATTTAACTTGGTAGAAAATTTAGCAGATGGTAATCTTGAGTATCACGTCGCTTACACGGTAGCGCTGACGGCCTTTTGGGGGATGGCTAGATTGGGGGAGTTGGTGAAATCGTCGTGCAAGGCCGACCAGGTGAAGGTGAAGGATCTGATTTGGGATCCTGAAGGAGATTATGTCCGAATAAAAATTAGAGCGGCGAAGACGGCTGCTGTGGGGGAGATACAAGAAGTCCACTGCCAATCCCAGGCTTCGTTGTTGGATCCGGTAGGGGCGATTTGGCGCTTAATTGTGGATACAAAGGCGACGGATGATGACCCGGTGTTCTCTTACCCACGCGAAGGGAGACGATTAACTCTAACGAAGGCAAGATGCCAGAAGATATTTTCAGACACTTGGAAGTCTCAAGAAGGGAGTAAGCTCACCGGTCACTCTTTCCGTGTGGGTGGGGCATCCTTAAGATGGAATATGAATTATCCACTGGCGGAGATTGTCGCTGTAGGACGATGGAGATCGAAAGCGTATAAATTATACATAAGAGAGTATACAGAGAAGGAACTTCTAGAGACATTACGTCTTTTGGAAGAAATAAAAATTGAACATTGATCGGCGCTGTTTATAATTATGCATTATCGTCAAAGTTGACATTCTATCTGAGGAACAGTTGATTAAATTATGCAAATACTTAGGAAGATATCTCATCCGCGCAATCAAGATACTGCTTTACTGAGTTTGTATCAGAGGAGTTCAACTTGGGGGGTTCTTACCACGAATTTTGACCCAGGACACAGTAGGTGGGAGATTGCAGGCTCAGGTCTGCGCCCCGAGTCAAGGGGAAGCGGTCTCCCTGCTACTGTTCCGGTGTCCTACCTCCCTCGGCCCCTTACCAGGTCAGAGGGCCCCCCCCAAGAAGCCTAGGGACTTTGGTGATATAGCCTTAGGTTTGAATGGGACAAACCGGGACATGGGAAATATACAAATTAAAAAGTTAGAAATGAAACCATAAGACCATATTGATATAAGACATATGGTTTCGTACACTCTTACACACTAGAGTCAGTGAGTTATAGAGTGGATATGTTAGCTTTCCCATCTAGGCTATCTGGATTGGTCCAGATAGTGTTGAGTAGCGTGATGATCCAGAATTGGTTTTGGCTTTTGTAAACGCAAGTACTGAATTAATTGAACAAAACTTCTCATATCTGTGGGTATGTGAGGTTTTTGCCCAAATCTTGTTAGTTCCAGACATAATTTGAGTTTCTGACATGATATTTCATGTGATCATTTTTCTTCACACCACCTTCAAAACTGATGGTGAAAATGGGCAAAAATATGCAAAATGATAAGAGTACACACATTGAACCCTCAAGGGGTTTCAAGTTGAATTTTTTTATATGTTTTTGTAAGAATTTGGTCAAGTTTTATAAAACACCACAGAAGTTCAAATTTGACTGATTGTAAAAGGCACATAGGTTGTATTGTAATTTAATGATGATTAAAAACACTATAACAAAGGTATACGATGAGAAAAAAGGGGAACAAGACACTAAAAACATCAACTAATAGAGTATATCATCCCTTAAACCTTTCAAAAATGGTAACAACCTTCAAAAACCAACAATAACTAATATAATCTTATGCTGTGATTGATCATAATGAATGACATGATTTAAGCTGTGAAATTGATCAATTGATGTTTAAACAATGATGAATAGATCTTCTTATGATGAATCCAGGCGATTTTTCCTAATTTCCATAGCTGGAAGCCATTTTAAGAAATACAGCTTTTTTGTAAAGTTGTCCAATTTTGGATTACTAAATCTCATTTTATAACCCTTTTGATACTGATCATTTATTTCCCCATTGTGACCTACTTCTGATGTGTGATGAATAATTTATGGGATGAGCTGTAGAGATTAATCAAATAAGCTTTTTGTTTGAGGGTTGGTGACTCTGGGACAAGGAATCAAAAAGGTCCATCCCGAGTCTCAAAAGCTCTGAGGAACACCGAGGCGAGACAGCCGCAGCCACGGGTGTAAAAGGAGGACATGGCAGGACGTGATTAGTCCTGCCCTGGATTGGCTGAGTAATCCTAGAGGAGTCGGAGTTCTAGAGATGACTCTCTCTCCCCCTCTTTGTTACTCGGTAATTTGAGACTCTCCTCTCCGACTCACTTCCTCATCCGTTCTCCTCTCGCTCTCGCTGGTTCCTCTAAAGACCGCTTCTCCGCCCGTGTTCAAGAG